GTTAATCACATGTCAACCATGGTTCTTGTTTAGTAATAAACACGGTCTATAGAATTGACAAATACATCACCAAAATGCTTGACATGGTATAACGAATATAAATGGTGTACACACCACCTAGCTAATCAGGAATGGTTCGACACATTTCGTGTCATCACCACTGGCCCTTGTAGCCTGCTAGTGTTTAGGCCTTGCCTAATGACTTGTTTTGTTGGGTTATTTAGATTGTGGGGTGGTAGGGATATGAATGTGGGATACATTATTTTTTTCAATACGCTGTGTAATAAGAGTAAACTTAATTGATACGTTATTTTGAGTCGCGGTTCGCTTTGAACTGGGATATATTATTCATATCGTTTTTATTGTTACAAAGAATTATACATAGTTATACATTATACATAAAAAAAAATAATGGTTACATATTTAATTATCAAAAAATAAAATCACAAAGAGATAGAATATAAATTTAAATGCTTAAAATTTGAAAAATAACAAACTAGAGAGCAATTAAATAACTTCCCACTTGAAGCACAAATCAAAGTAAAAGTCTTAAATGCCTAACAAGCTTCAAATTAAAATTATTCAATAATAAAAAGAATTTTGGAGTACAAATGTTAATTATCAACTCTTTTTTCTTTATTTTTTGCAGTGGTCTCTTCTTTTACAAAGTTGAAAATTTAAATCTGATATAGTTCAGAATGACAGAGTGGTGGCCTGTTAATAGAAACGTACACAAAAGCATATAGGGATGAATCTTCCCGATCTTCTCTTTAGCAATGACAAAACTATTCATATTGTTATCCTCCAAGGATTTTCACCGCAAATCCTCCAAACTCACAATATAAACCTCGATATATGTGTACTCTAGATTTATTTCACATTTCATAAAAGGCCCATATTTGTTGTCATCAGTAAAATGTGATTAAAGATGAATATTTGAATGAATAAAAACCAATTTCTCAGCTCTGATAGAATTCAATCTATTTCTCTTAACATTGTGAATAAATGAATGTGTGCCCTAATTTCTTTTTGTCGAAGAACTTATAATTGGTTGGGATAACATCTTTTATGAACAAATAATAAAACACATTCATAATGATAATTGCAATAGAAATAAATAATAATAAACTTAAATTAGTATTTTTTTTTTCCTAATTCTAGAGTTTCTAATCTATATGTTGATCATCAATCAATAGCATCTATGGTCACAACATCTCTTTGAGCAACTGCCATAGCATAAAGACCCTTTTGTGAATGAAAATGTAGATATTGTTCTCGTAATTGTTTTGTTTCTTCTACATTTTCTGTCATTTTTTCAAATGCTTTTATAACACTTGTGGTCACTTCCCTACCTTGATTTAGAGCTCCTATTGCTAATCTAGGAATATTCATCTTCTCCAAGCATAAAAATTTCAATCTAGGCAAATTTATTCACGTGCTTTCTACCACTCATAATATCTTTTTTGTTGTGTGTTCATCCCCAAATTTCAACAATTATTTCCCTAACCCGAGAATAATGATAGTTCTAAAAAATTCTCTATAGTCAACAAGTCACTTCAATAAAATATAATATAATATGCAACAAATCTAGTATTTGTCACTTTTAGTAATATGATTCTCATTCCTAAATCCTAGATTAACATGTTTGGATAGTCAATAATTTAGTAATCTAACTTAGGAATAAGATTATTACCATAATCTAATTTTCAATAAGAATGGGTATCCTAAATTCATGACCAATGATGGTAATCTCATATCTACGTTGATTGAGTATTCTATGAAAATAATAAAATTCCAAAAAAAAAAAAAAATTCCTTCCTAAAATTAACTAATTTTAAAATTAAGGAATTGTTTGGTAATTTTTTTTTTGTGTTTTCAAAAAGATATAAAACAAAAATAATTTTTATTTTATTATTAATAAAAATTAAAAATATAAAACATATTTGGGAGTCATCGATGGTTACCCGATTTTGGTAACCACTTAATTTTTTTTTTTATCCCATTAGTAAAAAGAATAGCAGACTGCCTAATACAAATCAGCAGGCTAATTTATTGATTTTAATAATACAAATCAGCAGAATCAATCTCCTGAAATTAATCTCATTTCTAAAATTAAATTATTTTTTAAATTATTCGATAATGATATTATTAATTCAATATGGAAAATACCAAACATTAAATATAAAATTATTATGTTAATTAAAACTAGGTATCTCATTCCCAATTACCATTATTGTCGTCGAACGTCGTCATCCAAACGTGTCCTTTGTGTACTCCGTCAGTGGAGAACGAATTCGAGCGAGGAGATCGATCTGAAGCTTCATCCTGCAGCTCTTCTTCAACAACTCACAACCTACACGAGATCCAGGGGGGAGCTGCGTGATCCAAAGTAAGACGTGATTATCGATCAAGGGGAGAGAGATGAGAGAGGAGGAGAGCATTCCATCTTCCAAGCTTGTTGTTCGATAGATTCGGGTATGCAACAACTTCATTTGATTTGACCTGCAATGAAATAGAAGTGTTTAGTTGTTAGTTTTCTCTATTCTTCGCCCTCGTTCAATCAATTTTCTGAAAATATCTATGTTTTTGGAAAGATACGGGGTCAGGTTTTGAGGTTAGGGAATTTGGGGTCGCTACTTTTCACGTTTTGGGTCGCGAACGCACCACGTTTGTGGTCGCGAACTTACCACATTTGGGGTCGTGCGACCCAGATCATATGCCCTTGGACGAATTCTGGTAACCTAAGCATAAAAAAACACATGAACAGACCATTAAAAATTTTCATAGTTCAGTAATATGCTTAACAACGGTAAAGATCATATTTTTCTTATTGATAATCTGTCCCAACAACTTGTTAATCAAACACGTACATAATTGGAAATCATACAGTAACAAACAATTCTACGGGTCATTTAAATTGAATCGGTATAGGACAGAACAAAAGTTTTATTCTATTCAAAAGGGTAGTGATATTAATGATTACAATCCAATAGGTTACATTGAATGTTCAAGAGTAGGAGGGAGGTTTCACAATAAGAAACTAAAAATTTGAAATCAAAAGCCATAACAGGGAAGAATTTTCCCTACAAATAAACACAAAGATCATAATTTGTAAACCAACAAATTTATAAACCCACATGTGCACTGATAGCTTTCGAATTCTGATATCAAATAGCATAGTCATAGTGAGTGACTTGGTGAATCCCTACTATCCAAATTATATAATTAGCATTAAAAATACCAGTCCAAGTCACAGGTTACACTAACATGGAAAACAAATCGATCTCTGAATTTTGAGTTGACATTGGAATTTATTCAGATTTGATTATCAGGTGATACAATTTTACGTTCCTTCTAGATTGTTCTCAATCTGTGAGTTGGCAGTGCGGTGGTTTCGTGGGTTGTGGTGTTGGCTGTGGGGTAGGATGGGGGGGTCTGTGGTGGGGATGGGTTCGGTGTTGGACAGGGGTGGTTGGGTGGTGACAGGTCATGGTTAGAGAGTGTTGATGGTGGTTAGGTCTCCGTCATTAGGAGCTGGGGGTAGGAGGATTGCTCATTCTCGTAACGGTCTGCCACAAAAGAGTGAAAGACCAAACAAAAGTAAAATACACAGGTTCTTTATTTATGTTAACAACTTTAGATTTTATCTTTATTTCTTTTAAGATTTTATCGCGTAAATGACTATGTCGATTTGAGACCTCCATAGTTGTTTGAGTACAGGGAATGTTACAGAACACTTGGAACAAACAACATCAACCACATGTAATGTTCATGTAAAATATGGAGCCAAAGTAGTGTATTTTGATGTATCAATAAAAGGTAAAGTAGGTCGGTGTCGTCCAAGTGAAGCCAAGTTGAGTCAGCACTTGCTCTCGTGGCAGATTAAGGGTCCAAGAAAGTCACCTAAACCCCCATAAAATACCAACGGGAACCAAGTCATTCGATTATTTCACCCTTCTGGTATGTTGAAAAGTCCCGATGAATAAACCCAAGACTACCTAAAATAAAAGTCTCAAACTTCCTCCATTTCACGTAGACTACAAATCATTTCAACCAAATTTAATGAACAAAAAACACTGGTCATTTATAATATTTGGGGATGAGAGATTTTTTTCATAGGGGCAATACTACAACCATTTTGTATTCGTTGAGGAGAGGAGGAAATGCATGAGGGTTTGGTTCGTGGTGGTGTGGTGCAGACGGTGGTTGTGGGGTAAAGAGGGTGAGAATGTGCAAACCATGGTTGTGGGTGGTGGTTTAAAATGGAGTGAGGAGAGGGAAAGAGAGGAAGGAGATGAGTAAAGAGATAAAGAGAGATGTGCCTTGCTAGCTGGTTTCAGTGAAGAAAGGGAGACAGGAGAGATGGTGGGGAGGAAGTAGATGGGGAGAATGATAAGAGAAGAGACTATGAAAAAAGAATTTTGGAAGTCAGAGAAATATTGTTCAATGCACATCTAATTGGGGATGAGATTTAGGGCTAAGATGGGAATTAGTGGGGCATAGAAAATGAGAAGTTTAAGTGAAAAAGAGGAAGAATGGAGAGATTACCTCTGAGTGGGGCATAAAAATGAAAATGGACGGGAACGATTCTTGTCCATCGTGTCAAATTTGAATGATTTGAACTGTCTTGAGGTCTTGATAGGTTGGGCAATTAAAAAACAACTCTACTTTAGTATTTAGATTTTATTAGGAAAAAATTCATTAAAAGTGCATATAGTTGCACCTTATTTTTGTTTTGTGCCTTTCTCACCCAAATTTATAGCTTAAAGCGTTACTGTTCTTTCTTAGTATTTCGGTCTTGGCTTTCATTTACTTCTTATAAAGAAGATTGAGAAAGAAGTAAAAAAAAAAAGAAAGTGGCTTTCATAATAGAAGAAGAACATCCCAGTTGGTTGGCGAAGATTGTCTCGGTCAGGGGCGAAATCAGGGAAACATGTTTTTCTTCGGCTTCATTTTTTGTTGACTAACTGAGTGATTTTTTTTCCCTAGAATACCAGAACAATGATTCTTGAGCTCTGCATATTGGCTTTCTATGCTACTTATGGATTCTGGGGAAGAAGCCTTGAATATCTACGTAGGAGTAAAGAAATATATGGAAAGGTATTTTACTGAACACATCACTTATGACAATGTTATTTTGTGTGAATTTGGCATATTCAATTTGATGATAGCTTCTGTTGGACATTTACTATTATGGTGAACTTGCAATTTTCTTTGCCTTTGTTCTTTTGGTCCAGTTTAATGAAGCTACGTTTAGAATTTTGCTTATGGGACGTATGAATGTTTGGCAGATGGTCTATGAATAAAAGCTGATGATTTAAATGCTTAGTTGAAAGTACTTGCAAGCAGGGATCAAAATTTGGTTTCCATGATTGATTTCAATTAGTTCGGAAATGACTACCTTTTGGAAAGGGGAAAAAATTTAAAAACGTGTGGAAACGTGAATTGGAATATCTATATTTAGCATGTTTATTGTCTAAACATCAATGTATAATAGATGAGCTGAATTTGGAGAACAAAAGTAAAGGTTAACACAAAGCATAAGTCATTTTAATTATTTTCAAATAATTCATTTTTGTTGAACAAACAAATTCACATGAATTTTAAGGATGTATGACACGAATAAAGTGCGCATGATTATCTCCTTGTGTCGAACCAATGATGTTCACCTCCTTCCTTTGAGACAGGCATAAAATAGAAAATGACATTTCATTGGAAACATTCTGAGACATGGTAACTTCGATTTCAATCAGTGGGACGTTTTGTATTAAACAAAACAAAATTTTGATAATTGCTTGATGGGCCAAAAGAAGGTGGTGAATTCATCTGCATTTGTCCTTTGTGCATGGTGTTTAATTTAGCCCCCCCCCCCAAAAAAAAAAAAAGAGGAAAAAAGAGAGAAGAACCTTGATATGGCTGCTGAAATCGCCAAATTGTTACTTTTCCGAGCTGTTAATTTCCTTGTTAATTTTAGTTCTGTTGTTTCTTTTTGGCCAAATAGGTGAATTACAATAAGGAGGATTGCCTTTTCCGAAAACGTATCGAAGAGTATTGTCTTATGAACAAATATAATGGGAATGATCGAATTAGTAGACTGCCTGATGACATTCTATACTCAATTATCTCATTATTGGAAGTAAGAGATGTTGTTAAGGCAAGTGTGTTGTCAAGAAGATGGAGATATATCTGTGCTTCGTTGTCTAACACTAACATTGAGTTTGACTTGTGTAAAATGTTCGGGAGATCTAACAATTGTAACGACGTTGGGGCCCGTCTTGGACTGCCTGGCTCATACAATAAAAACATCACTAAGGAATGGCTAACCCTCAATGCTCGTAGGCATATTGAACCACACCTTTGCCCAATTGTTAAGCACAAATTTGCACAAACAGTGCATCAGTTTATAAAGCTCTACTTGGCTCCACAGATACGTTCTTTCAAGGTTGCTTTTTGCTTTGAAAGAAAGTTTACTAATGCAGTCAACCGTTGGATCAGTTTTGCAATAAGAATGGGTGTTGAAAGGCTCGATCTCAACTTTGTATGCTCTTTTCACACTAAGTACCGCAACATGTACGATGGCCTTTATACATTGTCTTGTCAACTTCTTTCTGAGGCTTCCAATCTGAAGCATTTGCGGGTATACTCGTGCATGTTGAAACCAGATATCTGCTGTCGGTTCAACACCCTCCTTACCCTTGATCTAAATTATGTACCATTAACTCAAGGTGATTTGGAGAATCTCCTTGTTGTCTGTTTGAAGCTAGAGACGTTGATGGTGAAACAATGCAACCTTCCTGTTAAATTTTGCATATTTGGGCCCCCCAGCTTGCAAAAGGTGGTGGTGAATTGTTGTCGTGGCTTGAAGGAGATTGAGCTTTCTGCTATTAATCTCAGCACCTTTGAACTCACTGATTTTGGCACGATAAAAATCTCGTTTTCCAATGTGCCAAAGCTGAACAAAGTGTTTCTTTGGCTAGGACGCAGAGATTGGATTCTGTACATGTTCAAAAAATTTGCTAAAGATCTTCCTCAGCTGACTACTCTTTTAATTAAAACTGAAGGGGTATGTGAATCTACAGCAAAGCCTTCATTTCTTTGCTCTTTATGATTGCCAATTTTTCTCACCATATTTATGGTTTCCATTTGCTTTCTAGGTGAAACATATACCCGCAAGCCCAATCAAGCTCAGTAATGTCATGCAATTGGAGTTGTTAACATATTTTGACACTGGGAATGATCTTGTAAAAATTATGGCTCGTCTTCTGCATGCCTTTCCCCTGTTGCGGAAACTCACTGTACAGGTTAGTCATCATTGCATTGCAGTCTATCTGTCTCTCTCTCTCTCACACACACACACAATTTGAGATACTCATCGATACACTCACACTGATACACATACATGCATTCACACTCGCCCACTTGTGTTAACTTTTTGGTGCCTTGCTTATCTTACTGAAATCGGTTGTAGCAAAGGAGTGACTTTTTTAGTCCAACATGTAGTGTCTACTGCTGATTTTAGTTTTGTGAAGTTTTATAGTATGTGGATGAAGAAGATTATGGAAGAATTAGGTGAGAGAAGGGAAAGAATCGTTAATCCTATTACCTAACCCCAACTCATATGTATAAGTATCTCAAAAGTAAAAGACTACTATGCCATTGAGTGGTACACTTATTACAAGAACATATATAATGTGATAATTAATATATTATGTCAAGCTGGATTAAATATTCAACTCGCCTCAACAAAATCTTATCCTAACTATTTGGGATAGGCTATATAAATCATGTTTCTCTATTGAATTCTATTCTTTTTTGTTAAATAGGAAGTTATCATATTCTTTTTTACTATATCGTTCAAAGTTAATTTCTGTTTTGATCTAATGTCCTTCTAAACATCTGCCTTGTCTCAGGCCAATTGAGGCACTTTAGGCACTTGCACCTAGGAGTGTTTTCACCACTCTGATCACGATGAAATTGTCCTGCGATGATAAATGCAACAAACGATAATGAGATCAGGAATCTGATATTTTTGAATCCACAAATAGATTGAAGCAACCTTTATTTGAAGAAGAACGGAAGAAGGCGACAAACATCAAGGTTGTGGAAGCATGATGACCAATAATTGATCAATGCTAGGCTCTGATACCAATTGATGCAGGATTGGAAAGAAGCAATACAGAAGAGAAAAGAGGATGAAAGAAAAGGAGGGATTAGGCCAAGAAACACACTAATTCAAAATTCTCAACCGTAATTACTTTCCTAATAAAATTCTTACTAAAACACTCCTATCAAAAATTCATAATCAATATCCGAATAAATAAATGATTGCAATAGTCCTATTAAACTACCAATTACATTTTCTTTTGGACAAAAAAAATATTATTTCTTCCATCTGGTCTTGCAAAGTTGATCATATTTTTCATCCATAGGTGCTGCACTCACCCCTTTTTTGACAAATGGAGCAGCAGGTTCATGTATCAGACTTTACCATATCTTTCGTAGAGTAAATTCCCATCCTTGTAGCAATTGATTTGAAAAGTGGCCTTCTTTATCTACGTGGCTCATCAAACTGTAATGTGACGTGCATGCTGGTGTGGTTCTGGAATCTAGAGGATCTCCTATAACTCCAATATTTTCATTATGACTAAATGTTATTGTAATCCCCTCTTGCACAGCATTTGACATCCCATCTTCCTTTCATGCCCTCCCGCTTGAGCCATGGATCTGCTATGTATGCACCCTTTAATTGACCAAGTGCTCCTGCGAAGAAACAATGGAATCTTTGTCCCACAAATAAAAAATGGATAACATGGAAAAGATCTGACTTTTCTTTAAACTGTTTGTAATTCGCATGCCCCTCTAAACCATTAACTCGGTAAACATCAAGAAAATTTCCATCAACAAAATTTCTATTCAGTTGCATTTCTCACACCTCTTCATAAATATCCTGAACTCCCTTTCCTTTCTTTTCTTTTTTTTTTCCAAAACACTAGGGCCACTGATGCCAGTATTTTACAGCATAGGGTCCTCAAGGATTCAAATTTTCAAATATGAATTCTATTAGTAATCCAAGTACTTAACTTCTATACGAAAAGCCTAGTAAAATTTGTTTCCTTCAAGGTCCAGAGAGAAGTAAGAATCAAGAAATAAGATGAGAGAACGATTTATTTGAAAATTTGGGGTTAAGTCCACAAATCTGGTTTCTAGACCCGAAACAGTAACTACACCACAGGTCTCCTGAATGGAAGAACTAATGGTTGGACTTTAAATAGTGACCAATGCTCTAATATACTACCAATGATTACCCCCATAGATTTTTGTGATGATTACATGGAGGTTTGTACTTTCCACAGAGGGCGAGAGGGTTAAATCTTGATATTTCCCTGATCATCTTCAACCACTTTGAAGGAAGCTTCTGATATGATAATACTGGGGTTTTTAAATGAGGTTCTGATATCAATTTCTCTTATTGTACTATAATGTTTTCAAAGAAATTTTGCCTATTGCAGGTACATTGAATATTATGTACCCTGGGATGGTTGGCAGCTACAAAACAATCTTAAACTGTTTAAAATGGTTAGACTGAGATTAATTTGGGGACCAGCAGGGGTTATTCATTGTTGTTGTAGTGCTTTAAGTGCTGATTTGGGGATGGAAAAGTTTGGCTTTGACAACAGCTACAACATAGTCTGCTAATTCTGTGAATGACAATGAACAAGACAATTCATCCCCCCTCTCTCTCCCAACAAAAAAAAAGAAAAATAGAAAAAAAAAAATGTGGGCACATGGTATCAGAGCAGCACTTTTGTTGGCTATTATTCCTTATATTGGAGCTCTTTTTCCATTCTCCTCCTCTTTCTATTTATTTGCTGTTTTCTGCTCATCCATCTTGCAAAATCATTGCAGAAAAAACTGAGTGGGGATCACTTTTGCAGCAGCAAGACAGTGGCACTAACCTTGTTCTTAATATTTTGGTCTTGCATATCATAATTGATTTGGTCTGGAGACTGTTTTTTTTTTGGCTCGATTTAAAGTTTATGTTATATATATATATATATATATATATTCTGGAGATGGTGATTTATTTGGTTTCAATTTGTCATGAGTCCTTTCTTATTTCATGATTAAATTTATCTAGAAAGATGAGATTCTATGATCTACCTTTAGAAAGTGGAATGAACTTGCGTCTTGCAATTGTGGAGGACTTGAAATAATGATGTATTTAATTAAATTCTATTATGGTAACAGATTGCACAATCGCTGCATTACGAGCAGAAAAGTGTGGAGGAGATTGGTCAATGTGTCCATACTCATTTGAAAGAAGTTGAACTCAGTGGATTTTCTGGCGCCTGGAGTCACATGGACTGTGCCATATATTTGTTGAGAAATGCTGTTGCACTCAATCAGATGGTTATTGACCCATGGTACTATACTGGACTCGATTTGAGTCTTGGCCCATACAGACATAGATGGTCTGGAGGGGCATGGAAGAATATTTATTATCAGCTGCTAGGAAATTATTACTCCAATGCAAACGTGGTTGTCCGATACAATCAACCCGACCCAACCCGACGCTTGTGATGAAGAGTAATGTTTAGTTAGTAGATATTATTTATTTATTGCTCAGCAAAGTAGAGTATAATATTTATTTTAAGTTTCTACTTGTACAATACAATATCTCTCTATCATTTAGCTTCCGGTTTTATTGAGCTGAAATTAATTATGCTTAGCAAATGCTCTTTTCCATAAAATATCAATCGGTTTTATGGTTTAATTATATTTTTTAAAAGTGAAGATATAATTGATCGAAATTATTTGCGATTGATCAAGAATAATTCTAGTCAGCTTCACCATTAAAATGTATAATTTTACTTTTATGAAGTGTAATTTTTCTTTTAAAATTTGTGAATATGATGATTGATCGTAACAATATAAGTGTCAACAATTAATCGGTAAGAATAGGAATAGATTGGATTGTTTGTATCCTAACTCATCCCACCCAAATCCACTCAAACATTTAATTGGATGGGTTATTTAAACTATTGTTTGGCAAGGAACAATTGAATTGGATGGACTCCACCTTAACTTTTATAGATATTTATCATTGTGCAAATTGATAATTTTTTTTTAAGCTCAAATAATATGAAGAACAAGTCTGAAAAAAAATTGGTGCTTCTTTGTGTTCACCCATAATTCAAGAGAGAGAGAGAGAGATGGGGATGTTTTGCAGTGACAAAGAAAGCATAGGAGTAATACCACCACCAGAACAAAAATGCCACCACCACAATAGAAATGCCACCATTACCACCCACCACCATATGTCGAAATAGCTTTCTGCCTCTATATCCATAGCGATACTCTCCGATTATGAAGAAGAAGATCACAAGTTGACGATTAGACCCTCATCATCATCGCGTGACAACTAAGTCATTCAACATCATTCTTGATCCATCGAACCCACCAGAATTTCTCTAAACCTTTTTTCTTCGTCACCTCTATGCTACACCTTCGTTGTCGCCTCTAACCCAAATCTTTGGACGAGCTCAGCTGTCTATGTGTGTAGTTGTGTGTGAGTGGTTGAGTGACAGGGAAAGAGAGGGACAAATGGGTCTATTGGATGGTTAACCCGTTGCTTGAGTTTGCAACCCATCCTCAGGGGGGTTGGGTTAATTGTAATCGGTGTAAGGAAGTTATGGACCATTGTAGCAATCAGGTCAAGGCTTGACCTAGAATTTTTATCCTATTTCAAAAAATGCTTCCCAAACAAAGAATAAATGGGGCTCACGACCCTATTTATCTATGTTTATGGGTGTTAACCCCTTATCCCACTATCCAAACACGCTTTTATAGGGCAAAAATTATTGAAATTGAATCCATATGAAGTTGATTGCAATTTGACCTACATTTGGAATGAGTATTTTTTAATTAACCTTATTAGGGGTTATTATCGCAAACAACTGTCAAAAATAAATCAAAGAAAAATCTATGATGTATGGTACTCTGTGGTACTATTGGCTTATCCTTTTGTTAAATAGACAATTTACTTGAAAAAGGCCCTTATTTCTTAACGTGGCGTTTGGATCAAAGTACTTGGGGGAATTATAAGTGGGATTGGATTAAATAGTGGATGGATCCACTTATCCTTGGTTTGATTGAACAAATTGAAATAGGATTATAGGTGGGGATTCAATACCTCGGTGTAGTGTTCCTTTGAGAGATAATCCATCTCACACAGGATTATCTCAACCCATGTGAATGGAGGGATTCAAAATCTAGTAAAGGGGGTAAATGGTAAAATTACATAAACAACCCATAAACACCTGTTTGTCATCTCCTCTCAATCATTATAGCCATCTTCTTCTTTAGGATCCACTCCAAGGTTTCTGGTACTCAAGGGGCAGTAGTTTAATATCACAAGGAAGCTCTGATCTGGGTTCTATCTCATATGTTTTAGCTGCTGGAACACTAATTGCTCTTCAGGAATTGGGCTCTCTCTCTGTCTCACTCTTTCTCTCTAGCAGATTTGAAGCCGAAGCATTTGGATCTCTATTCACGATAACTCAGGGAAGATGAGCAGTTTAACCAAATTAAAATCCATTTTATACCCTACTGGTTCGGTTTTTTTGCGCCTAAACCCCATTATTTTGAAAGTAACACATAACTCTATTATATTTTTGAACTTAATTGGTACCATTAGAAATTCTCTCTCAATTAACAAAATGTAGCATGCAAGAACATGATTTGAGAGTACGTGTGTAAAAATATACGGTTTAAGTCAACTTTGAATGAAATGGTTTGCATTTCATTAAAAAATCACAATTGTTCTATGCTATTGGTGTCATTAAATCTTAAATTTTTAAGATCTTAAAAATTTTATGCTCATCTATTTGAGAGGTGTGTCTAGGGCGAAAGGGTCTTTGTTGAGGTTTATGAAGGACGACATTCCTCGGATGACATTGCCGATGGTGTACATTTATAAAATAAATTATGAACCTGCGTGGCATTCCTCAAGTTTGCATACAATTTTGTTGGGTTTTGATTATTAAATCTAGGGTTTCATATAATGTATGATGATTTAAGCAAAACAAATGGTGAAATGTACCATGCCTTTCAAAATTTCACATTGCACATATTTGTACACTCTGAAGATGTTTTACGGCAAACAAACCTGCTTATAATTAAGAAACACTTGAATTTAAGATGACACAACCCAAACCATTTATTAGACTCACTATCACACCCCGATTCTACCATAACAAAATCATTCATCAACTATCACAACAACATAATAATATCAACAATAGAAGAACAATCATCTTCATTGAATATCAAAGCAATCCAAGATGACAATCAAGATCTATCAAATAGTTAAAATTCGATCAACATCAAGCCATGAAATACCTCATGTTTCAAAAGAAAAGAAAGTCATTGAATAATTGTTGTATGACAAAACACTTTATCATGATATTATAACATGCAATATGCAAAAAAAATTTCATGAGTTAATCAACTCAAACTAATTCTATAAGTTATGTCCTAAAGAGGCACTGCTTGTTTTGGAGACGGAAAGAAAAGAAATGAAATGAAACTAAAGAAACCAAAGTGAAAATCTCATTAACAAAATTTATAATATAAAATAAGACAACTCCAACAAACAAATCCTATGATAAACAAAACTTACAGTAATCAAAACTTCAGCAATTAATATAAAAGAAATGATTTCCCAATTTCAAAAATGAACTACAGTAATAAAAACCTAAATGCAGAAATACAACATAGAATATCAAGAAGAATACCCCAATCTTAGTTTGGAGGACCGGTGAGTCGGACTCGGTTGGACTTTGGATGATGGATGGCTTTGGTGCAACTCAAATGGTGGGGGTGGGTACTCGAAATAGGGATGGTGCAAAAGGAGGAGAGATGGAGGGAAGGGGTTTGTTAAGTGACTACAACAAAAATTATTTTTTGCAACGAATTTTAATTTGTTACAAAAAGTGTGCGACGATTTTATAATTTTGGCGCAAATTTATTTTTTTGGTGCGAGAAATGACGAGAATTAAAGATTTTTTACAACAAAAATTTTTTGTTGCATAAAGTTTTAATTCATCGCAAAAATTAATAATATAAAATTAAAATAAAAAATAAAGTAAAAATATATAATTTGCGACGTTTAAATTTTTCGTCTCAGAATATAAATTTTAGTTATTAAAGTAAAATGAAATATTAATATTAATTAGTGACGTTTTATAAATTCGTCGCCAAAGATAAAATTTTTATTTTTATAAAATTTTAATAAATTTTATTTTTATATTAAATAAAATTAATTTTTAGCGATGTTTTTATATTTGTCGCAGAGTGTAATTTTTATAATTTTAAATTAAACTTTTTTTAAAAACATCGTGCAAAATAAGTTAGAATATATAATTCGGGATGTTTAACTTTTTTTGTTGTAGAATATAAATTTTAATTATTAAGTAAAATAAAATATTAATATTAATTAGCGATATTTTTTATAAATTCATTGTAGAAGATAAAATTTATTTTTATATTAAACAAAATTATTATTTAGCGACGTTTTTATATTCGTCGCAAGAAATAAATTTTTCTCTCTGCCCTTCAAACTTGCGATCAGCGACAAAATTTATAAATCGTCCCCTAAGTTATTGTAGATAGCTTTTTCCTCAAATTTACCTCCAACAGACCAGTTATCCCGCTCTCTATTTTCCACTCCACGGTCTCTCTCTCTCTCTCTCTCACTGAAACTCTAAATCACAGAAGCTCCACCTGCCATTCTCTGCCTCTCCATCGATTGAACTTGAAGAACCTGCCTCTCTCTTCCAATCGTCGAAGAACCAGCCACACCAGTCGTCGAAGCCACAAGCCACACCAGTCCTCAACGCTAGGCCACCGCCATCGCCAGCAACCTAGAAACCCCCTTCGCCCCTCCCCAACCCAGAAAACACCCCCACCAGAAAGCCCCTCCCCAACCTAGAAACCCCTAGCAATCCTTGATTTTTGATCTTTGATTCAACTCAGAGATCAAGCCGAAGCTCAGGTACCAATTTTATCTTTGATTTTTCTGATTTTTTTAGCGCAAAAACAGATTATTGGTTTGTTTTTGGGGTAATTTATTTTCATGGGTTGGTATTTTTGTTGTGGATTTTGTCTTATGCTTTTGTTTGTGGATTTGTTAAATTCTATTCACTTTAATGTTTGACAGTTTTTTTGTTGTTTGCTACAAATTTTTGTTATCTGAAGAAGAATTAGTTTTTTGGTACTGTTTCTTGATCTGCTGGGTATGTGGGTTTTTGCTGAAAATGTGTTTTATGGTCTGGGATTTTTTGCAAAAACCTGTTCTGTCATTTGGGTTTTGTTCTACTAGTGTTTCATGATCGAGTTTTGAGCAAAATTTGAGTTTGGACAGGTGTCTGGTGAGTTTTGGGTGGATTTCAATAGAAGCTTGAACCGTTTGGCATTGCTTGTGCAATTCATTACCTTACTGGAAATTGATTGATATCTATGTTTGGGCCAGAGGTGTTAGACGAATTCGAAGTTTGGGATAATGATTTTGGTGGATTGGAAACCAATTTCATTTGTTTATAGATCTGGATTTGGTTTTGGTTATAAAATTGAAACAAGTCACTGTTGGGTTAGTTAAAGTAGATAATATAATATTTAAATATATTTTGAGTAGCTATTTTAGATAGCATTGTTGGAGATGC